ATGGCTTCCAGCTCCTCCTGTTCGTTGCCCATGCTGTGTGCATTGGTGTAGATGCACTTCAGTTGGGCTATTGATCCTGCCACCTCTTCTGGGGGGAGAAGCCCCGATTCCTTTGTGACTCTGCTCAATCTGCTTCTTGACATTTCAGGTGTGCTCCAGTGTACTCAGCACATTATGGAGCAGACTGAAGGACCTCATTAACACACTGAAGGACCTCATTAACACATGCTGCCCACAGGCTTATCTCTTGCAAGCCTGGTTTTATCCCTTTACCACTTCAAATCTAGTGTAAAGGCCTTTTTAGCCCTGCTAACTCCTGCACAAGGATCCCTTTCCCCCTTTGATAAAGGTGTACCTCGTCTGTCACCAGGAGGCCTGGTGTTACGTAGACCGACCCAGGATCAAAAAAACCCCAAAATTCTGTTAGTAACACCAGTCCCAGAGATGGGTATTGATCTGCTGGGTCTTCCTGTTTCTTCCCTCGTCATTCCCTGCAACTGGAAGGATAGAGGAAAAAGCTCTTTGTGCTCCTGACCCCTTAACCAGATGAAGTCCCAAGATGAAGTCTCTTTTGATCACCCTCACACTTCTTATTGCAGCTGCGTTGCTGCCTACATGAAAAAGCAATAATTGATAATAATCCGAGAGCCAGAGCAGGGTGAGAAGCTTTCTTTTCACATCTTTAACCTGGGTCTCAGGGTGCTGCAGTCATTTCTGCTGTTCTTGATTGCTTCTATGCCGATAATAAGTTGTAATAGCTTCATATATACATATATATATGTATATATTAACTTTAGTAATCATAAGTATACTTGCTAAGTGGTGATTTGAGGTAATCTGTAGTAAAGTAGAGAAACTAAGAGGATACAGCCTCTGTGTCCTGGTGTGTTACAGCACCCTGTGAACCCATGTTTGCAATCCCTGGACACCCACAGGCTGGGTAACCCTTTAGGTTGTGACATTCTTGGACCCCGATTTTGCTTTGACCCACCTGAGTGAATCCTTTCTGTGTGCAGAAATAGCATGAAAATATGTTATTTCTGGGGAAAAACAAAACAAAACAAAACAAAACAAAACAAAACAAAAAGGGTTTTACTTTTTAAGCAAGAAAACCGGGGTGGGGGTGGGGGGGGGAAAGATAGGGCAGTCCCATTATTTTACTGAGACAAATGTTGTCTTACGACCTTTGTTTGTTATTTTAACAAGTAAGGAGAACAAAAATTAGCTCAATGCTGTCAAAATAATCATACCATACTTAGTAGAGGGAATACCAGTAACTTACACATTGACACACGTAGTTCAAAGTTATTACACTTCTTAGCTATCTTTGAGAGAAGGGTTTTCAACAAAAGAAGGGGGGAGTGTTTGCAGGGGACGTGTGGGTGG